CTGTAAAGTAGATACTAAACAACTAAACTAGGTTACCTACATTGTCTTATTATGCACAATTTATGTGTTATATATTTATGTTCTGGCCCTATTACATTAAATATAAATGTTATCATGTTAAGTATATTAAATTACCGTGTACTCGTGTAATTTTTATTAAAAATTTAAGAGGACGTTTCACCCGCATGTGTTGTCTCCGTCTTACAAGTGCGTAACATTGCAAAAACTGTTTCGCGCGGGAAAGAATCGAGAAAGATACAGTTATAACTAAGAAACGAAATTTTTACCACATAAAGAGGAGAATTTTGTCTGTGCAATATCGTTTTTATTTTCTCGATATCAGAACTACAAAAAAAGTTATTCATGCTTAAAAAACACAAAATTAATGTATTATAAAACGATATTGCACAGACAAAATTCTCTTCTTTATGTGGTGAAAATTTCGTTTCTTAGTTATAACCGTATCTTTCTCGGTTCTTACCCACGCGAAACAGTTTTTGCAATGTTACGCACTTGTAAGACGGAGACAACTCATGCGGGTGAAACGTCCTCTTAAGGTTCGTGTAGTATCAATGTACATTATCACCGTCTAATATTGGAATGAAATGTAACTAATTTACTTTTCGTTGAACCAACACAGTTTAATTTTGTAGTCATTTTCATTTACCATTGACCTATCGGCTATTACATTTCTATTATTATCAAACAGTTTAAAAGTGAGAATATTTTATCTGCTAAGCTTTTTAATGTAACGTTATACAATATAATTTAGTTGTCAAATGTTGAACATATTACATAATATTAATTTAATTTAATTAATTATTGATTTGGAAATGGTAATAGAAACTTATGACATCATTAACATGATACACATATTAAGTTATCTTATTAGTGGCTTGTTTTAAAATAATATTTGCCAATACGATGTTATATAAAAAATAGATAATATGCTGATTTGTTTTTACCCGTAGCCCATAAGTTTACTTTCAAGAAGTTTAACAACGTACAGTCRATACTCCGATATTAATTTTAATATTATTGACCAGCCTATTTTTAAGTATTTTTGTTTTTTTACACAGTAGTGTTTGATAGATAATATGTTCGACTTCGAAGTTGGATTTTTTCCTCATTCAAAAATCAATAAAACGTATATATACACAAACTTAAAATAAATATATGTATTATCATTGATTATGTATTATGTATTTATAATCAATGGTATTATTAATTTAAACTAGTCATGATATTTAGGTACAAGGTCAATATCAAATAAGCTGATAATATAAGTAAATCCAATATATTATAATATATTACTTCAAGGTATTTAAAACTCCTAAGAAAGAAGAGGGACAAGTCTATTTGTGCGCCTCATTTATCGTTTAAATCAAGGTTATTCTATTTACCCCACTTTTTTTTGTATTGTAGTGCTTCTGTGAAATCAATTCATCAACCCTTATACCCTTTTATTTTTGGTGTATTGGTGTCATTAAAGTAGAGTTTATATTTTAAAATAAAAAGTGATCTTGGTCGCTATGGCATCATTTTTTTATGTCAACAAACTTTATACCATATTTATTGTGACTTTTAGTTCATTATAAAATGTAACTTTAATTATGTTAAGAAATTAACTGTTGATAATTTTTAGTTCTTGTTAAAAAGTAGATATCTTTGTTTTATTGTAATTATATAAATAGCATACGATTATTGAGTAAGATTTGTAGTTATCTCTAAAAGTTTTCAAGAGTCCTTGTTGTAACTTATTGATATTTTTTTTTCAACTTATGATACGTCCTATCTTTTAAATACAATAGCTAATTTATTCATGTTCTATTGTTTTTTTTTTTTTTTTTAATGTAATTTTGCGGAGTTAGGTGTAGGTATATCTTACATACACCATAATATTCACAAACTATCTTTTGTGAATATTTTTAACATACAGGAAGTTTAATAAATTATTATTTATCTTAATTTTTTAAATAAGTTTCAAAAATATTAAAATCTATAAAATGGTTATTTTGAAAATAAGTTAGGTTTACTTTTTATAAGTTACATCGAAGTTACTTATTATAGTTATATTGAATTGTTTGAATTTCAGATGGGCATAATAACAAAGACAAAGTTGTAGCAGGCAAAAATATGAGTCCAGATTTAAATGGCTGTGATACGGGAGCTATGTTTGTGATGGAAGATGAAGATCATCAAATGGTATTACTAAATTCACTTAACATGATGCGCAAAAGTCGAACATTTTGTGATGTTATATTAAACGTAAGTTAAATTATTGATTATGAGAGTTTAAACTTATTGTGCCTTGATAAGTTTGTTATAATTTTATTTAATATTTGAGTACTTCAAATTGAGATAATTTATGCAATTAAGAACAAAAAAATAATAAAATTAGATTGGTAAATTTAAAAGATTTACTAAAGATTTGGTATGGGAATTTTAATTATAATTTTTTTAATTTTTATTGAATAAATTATTTTGTAATTTGTGGGTTGGATGGGAAGTGTTGACTATTTTGAAATGTAGACCGACCACCATGAGTGTGTGTAGGTGGGAAATTGCGAGTTGCACGGTCATCGTGCTGTGTTGGCCAGCTCGAGTCGGTTTCTGATGGAGATGTTTAGCACTGATGATGAAGAAAAGAAAGGTTCACAGCGAGAAGCAATAACGACATATACACTGAATGCTACTGGTCCACTCAGCGATTGTTCTGCTGTTGAGAAGCTCATCGAATACACCTACACATCTCGGTAACGCATTGTCGCTACCATTTATTTATCTAACCTCTAACAGCATTACCTTCTTGATGTCTAAGTAGAAACATTGAAAAAATGAATGTGATTTAAATACTGAATCAAATTAAAACCATCAGTATGTTTTCCTTATAATAACTTACACTTCTTTGAGTCTTGACACAAAAAAGTATTCAAAAAAATGTAAAATATTCCCAAAAGGCTATTATACTTAAAGTTCATATATAATACCTTATAATATTTTTAACCTTCAGTATGAATATTGAATAATTTTAATATACAACTAAATGATAATTAATCATCATGTATAAAATTAGGGATCAAAAAAGCTATTAGATTCTGAGCGGAGCGATGAATGTATTGATTTTACCATGATGTGTGTTTTTTTTTTTTTTTTTAATATATATAATTAAACTTATTAGCTTAAGACATTTTTT